AAAAACTGTAATTACAACAAAGAGTGAAATAAATTGAATTGAATTGAATTGAATTATTTCACATACTAATAAGTTTTTAGTTTAATTTAATTTCATTAAAAAAAAAAATTTTAATATACATATTCTTACTGTTGTTATATCGCTTTTTCTTCCCATTCTTGATATCCTTTTCTCTCTCAATTATTTATCTTTACCGGTTCTTCACCTGTCTATCTCTTATTTTTATGTAATCTTATGCCTCCACTGACAAAGCTAACTGATTGCTTGAGGAAATCTAATTCTATATGATCATAAAATGCTTTTTGATTAATTGATTTATTGAGAAACAGCTATACGTAACCGCAACTCATGTATGCATGTACCTATGTATGTGCAAATGCCTACATAATTCTTAAGGTCCAAACTGCGTTTATATATACGTAATCTACACGAGGCTAATTCATGACTTGCATGCAGATAAAGATCTCAATTTTCGAATTTAATATTGTCCAAGAAGAATCGCTGTCTAATCAATTTAATTTACATATATCGATATTAGAAATTCGAATAGGATGCTTACAAAAAGAAAAGAGAGAGACAGAGAACAAAAAAACTAATTAAAATAGATGGGTGTGACTGGAATAAAACTAGGTTGGCAGCACTGATTGATTCGTTCCCGTTTTTTTAGACGACTAATAAAAGTCTTGTAAAAAGAATTGGTGAATCATTGATTGATAAACGTCGTAATGTAATGTGGGCTTAGCAAGCTGTTAATTTACAAGATACTTATCATCTGTTTTCAACGTACCTGCAGGGCTTGCACCACTGATTCTGCTGATCCAGTCCAAAGCGTGCTCGACACTTTTTCATATTGTTGCCTAGGAAAGAAAGTATTAGGTTGTTTTTGCAGAGTTTAAGGCATTCATATTAAGGTGAGTTCAATTTAATTGAGCGTGAAATCAAGTTTTTTAGTTGGACAGCAAATTAAATATAGTTAAAGCACTCAATTAAAGTTAGCTTACGAAAATGTAGGAGAAAGAGTACCACTACGATTAATACGAAACAAGCAAAGAATCAAGCTCAAACATAATATCATAGCTATGTACATATCTAATGTATAGATTCGAAACATTAAACTTAGAGCATCACTACTGATACTTCTACGCAATAAATTTGTCTTAAAACACAAATCTATTCTCTAATGAAGAATATTATACAATAATCCAAAATACATTTAACATTTAAATATTTTTTTAAGAATCCTTGTTTATTTTTCATTCAATTCAATTCATACAATCTTCAAAATTTGCAATATATAAAAATCGAAATACCCTAAAATAGAGACATGAAGGCATATGTCGTAAAATGCAGGACGCCTCGTCCATCTTTAGGAAGGTGTTCTTCGAATGTCACAATGGTTCTTTGCCCATCGTACAGATTTCTTACAAAAAATAATACATGGTTAACACTCATATTAGCTTTTCTCCAGCCACAAAACGTTTCACCAACGCTCCATTTGCTTGTGCACTTCATTAAGCTAGAGTTCAATTGAATTCCGGTTTATTTTGGTCTAAGCTCTTGTAAAATTCACTTCTACTTGGTTAATATCCATAGGTCATTATTCTTTAATAGGTTATAATTACCTTCAACCACTCGAAAATTGTTGAATTCTATGTAACAGGCAGAATAAGGAGTAACAGACGATAGAGTATATATTTTCTTGATTAAGGCGACGAGCTGAGTCACTTTAGCCCTGAACGCACACGACTTGTGTGTCTAAATATTTATGTATTGGTTCTAATGTAAGCTGATAAGATGCAAAATATCTCTAAAACAAGTAAGAAGGCTCTAGGTCGAGACGGCTCGACTACGAGATACCCTGAACCCTCCCAGATGATACCCTAATCATTCTTTTGTAGTAGGTCTATCTTCATGAAACTTTCAGATCGTGATCTAATGTTCAAATGTATTCCGAAGCACAGTCTGTAGTACTTGAAATACGTTTCTTTTTTACAAATTGGGAGCGAAGGAGCGCCCTGTAAATTACAAAGTCTTCGTATCCATGAAATATATATAAGCAATGAATCTAAAGTCTCCAGGTTTAATGGTATTCAAATTAGACTGGAAAAAAATTAATTAATTTATCGATTATCCTCTATACGAAATGTATCGAGCAAATATGAATTACTTGGACCGCGTATGGTAATTTCTGATATTGGCGTGCATATGGACGGACGGGCGGACAGACGGAATGGCTATATCGACTCAGCTCGTCATGCTGATCAAGAATATATATATACTTTATGTGGTCAGCGGTATTTCTTTCTGCTCGTTAAATACTTTTGTACAAAACCATTATATCCTGATTTCCCATTTTCAATGGGTTCAAGGTATAAGAATAACTGAACATAAATCGTGAAATTCACTAAACATTTGGAGCAAAACTCTTCTTCTGTATAAGTAACCTAGCATGTATATAAGCTGTTTTTAAGTATCGCATCATGTCTCAATTAGCATCTGTGAATTTAAATTTGGCTATATGAATAATTCTAAATATCTATAAAATTGATAAGAGTAAACTGTTTACAAAGACAATTCAGATTTATGGGTAACAAGACGTACATACACATGCATACATACATTTTAATATACATATACATATAGGGTTAGATGATATGAATGATAAGTGTGTGTGCTCTATGATTTGTTAAGCTGAATAATCACAAAGTATAGCTCCCATGTGCAAATCGTATGTACAAATTCCTACATTGACTTAGATATCCATATTTTTTGATTTACCAATGTATATATATATATATATATATTTTTTTTTTAATTTAATTTATATATATATATATTCTAAGTAATTTATTTTTTTATCGATTACGTTAAGTCTATGGGAATTTTTTTATTGCTTTGCGCTTGAATTATTTTTATTAATTGTTTTTGTATTTTTGGTATGTATGTAAGATAAAATTTGTTGTATCTAACCTCCTGCATCACTGTTAGTATCTTGTTTCCGTTTCCTCTTCTTCCCACGTGATGCATTCGTTCGCGAGCTCCAATCGGGATACATTTGCATGTGCAGTTGACGTTCCCTTCTAGCTAGCTCGTAATATTTCGCCTGCTCCTCACGCCCCAAGGCATGCCACTGTATGAGGTGGGGCGTGGTACATATATATATATATATATATATATATATATATTTTTTTTTTTTTTTTTTTTTT